AAGCTACATGTTACTAAATTTAAGAGCCATGAGATGCAAATGTTATGTTTATTAAATTCAGTTGGTCTTTATTGAAAAATTTTGTAGCAGAATGGCGAAAGTAAATGGATTGATGTGTTCATCATATTTTTATGAGCATTGTCACAGAAGAAGACACAGCACAGATGTTCATATTATCAGCCATTGTTCATTGATCATTCGTGGTTCATCAACAATTCTATATTTTTGACTTCTTTTTTTATCTTCAATTCTCTACTTTGAGAACATAATTTTGTCATTTTTGGTAAAAATTGCTATTTTTATTTCTGCTTAAAAACTACATGTAACTGGCTAAATTGCTTTTGGTATTTGGGTTTCACCTCTGTGATATTTTATTTTTGTGACGATATTTTCAATTCTCTTTTTTTTTAATGTCAATATTTTTGTCCTATTCTGTAAAAAAATGCCATGGTATAGTTTAAAACAAGTTGATAGGAATTGTAATTGATGTAGAAAAAACGTGTAAACTACTATGTTTGTGATATGGTATGAACATTATGGGAACAATAACCATGGAAAATAGCTAATACCAGTACATCATCATATAGGACATTATCAACTTTTTCTAAGGAAGACACTCCACAAAGATAGCAGAGCTATTTTAATTTTGATCCTGAAGTCAATTGTTTAATTGAAATTTTCAGAAACCTATTAGCACACAACTGAGTTTTTAAACAACAATTATGCTTATACAAGTGACCATTAGTTTGCTAATTGGAGTATTGTACATGCCATGATACACCCGACAACCTGTGAGATCCATGCTGACATTGTCAATTCTGAATAAGAACAATTTAAAAAAACAAAATTTGTAGCCATATTTTAATTAATATTTCTACCTTTAGAACTTATAATAAATATTTATCATACATGTTTTATTTTATTTTTAGGAGTGAATGCAGCTCTTAGGACACATGATGACAAAGTACATAGGGTTAGATTTGGAACGGGTCAGCAAAAAGTTCAACTTACAGTCACTGCTTGTCCTCTGGATTTGGAATCAAAATATTTAGGTAAAGGGTCAGGTGATACATCAACCTCCAATGCACAAGCTGACAGTATACATGGAAAGAAACCATCAACAGAGGTGAGATTGTAATCTCTAGATGATTCACTGAGATTGGACTATATACATCTCACAATACAATGAACATAATTAGCACTTTTGAACATGCATACATATTAAATGCTCAAAAGGTACTAAGAAATAATTGTAAATTCCCCTGTCATTTGTTGGTGTTATTTCCTATATGTTATAAAAGTGACAATGCATTATGTAAATGTGTTACTTATACAAAAAGAGCAATTTAACTAAAGTGTGCTGAATCATTTTTATGCAGATTTTTGTCAGGATAGTACACACTTAAAACCTCAGTGGTGCCATGGGATACTATTAGTCATTTTCAGGCTACATGTAGTATGTACCAGCTAAGATTTAAGCTAATCTCATATGTTTGCATATTGGCCAGATGCACAGCCAGCATGAGAGAGGACACTGTTTAAACTTGTTTTAAGCTGTTGACATAGCTTTGTTTTAGGCAGAATTAATCCTATTAAAATAAGCTTTTTACACCATGATTGAGACCGCATATTTACTTATGCTAATTGCTGCGTTTCAAGATATTGCTGAACAAGAAAATGTTTTTCATTCATAAAAACGAATATGCATTTCATTTCATGATGATATCTTCAATTTTCTAATTTTGATGAATAATTTTGTTATTTTTGGTGAAAAGTTATCTTTTCGACTTCTTGTTAAAAACAGCTAGTCCGATTGCTTTGATACTATACATATTATTCATGTTCTAATGATATCTTCAGTTCTTAATTGAAATGTGCATTGCTAACAGCGGAGCTATCTCAGCCGAGAGGCTAATTGCTTGTCTAGACGATGTCAAACTTTTTACATGGAGGTAAAATAGGTGGTTTTTAATTATGATTGGTGGGTGTAGATGGATTATTTTTCATCATTGAGTGTAGAGCGAGTAAATGTACAATATTCTAGTAACTCTGTTGGTTTTTTTACTGTAAATCGTTTATTTTTTATTTTTTTAAGTTGTTGCCTATCCGTGACCAATTTTATTAATTATAACATTTATGTGATGAGATGTTTTCAAATGTTTTTTTTTGTTTTTTTGTAATTATTTACTTTTCGTGTCACTTCAAGTAAAATACAATTCTGGCACTGCTCAAAATACATAATCGATATTCATCAAAGCTATACATTGACATTTACAAGTAGTCAGGTCAGTGCAACACTTTAAATAACTTTTCCCATTTTTTGATGCATTTCCCAAGCTTCCCGGTTTTATTTGCAATATAAAATTCAGTATTCTGAATGCCCTGAACAAAGTCCTGAAATCCCTCAAAACGTGGTATTTTTTGTTGACATCGTCCTATGTAAATAAACCTCTTGGCAACCAAGTTTTCACATGTTAGTGACATTACGGTTCAACATGGATTTCTATTTTTATTGTAGTCTTACAAGAAATTTATCAGATATACAACAGTTACTTTTGTGAGCATAAAGGCAAAACACCATGTCGTCTACTTCACAATTGAATATTTCATTTTGCAGTAATTATATATTTTACTATAGTTACTTTACTTTGTTTTTAAAGTATAACATGAAAATAGAAATTCCTATTTCGTATAGCAATTTGATGTAAAGGGCCAGATATTTACTGGGTTTTAATTTTGTCTATTTTGCGCTAATTTAAAACCCAGTGAATATATGTCTGAAATGATAAATCAGTGAAATTTAAACCAGGGAAAATTAGTCATTTTACCCATATGAAAATATCTGCTTACAACTGGTTTTAATCCGTGTCGAAAACATGCACAGAATGGTCATTTTGTGCATGTTTTCGACACGGCTTATCAGCCACCTCAAGCGCCAAATCCATGAAATAAACAGCCAATGTCAATAGAGTAGCCTAGGTGTTAAAAATGGTACAAAAACTACAAATCTGTCTAGATTTCACGTTTTCCTAGTAAAAGTGATGCTGGCTGTTTCCTCTGTGGACTCCCCCCTCGCGTATACTAGTACAACCAACTCCTACCATGTCCTTATTTGGTGACGAATGTCAAGCTATAAATGGGCACCAATACTCATTTTGCCCAATCTTTCGCTTTTATCGCATTTTGATCAACCGCATATCGCTTAATTTCCGACCAGAAAACGGACATATATTTATCCCTTTCTTTTCTCACTCGCTTATTAAAAACACTGACCGCTTGTTTAAACACTGAACACTGGTACATGAGTTGTCAAAATGGTTGTTTTAGTGCTAAAGTTTGAGGATTCAACGAGTATTAACCATTATTCAAATTCGAACGACACTTCCAATCCATCATACTTTGTATCGTTTGCGAATGCAACTTGAACTATGATCTTTTGTTATGTGAACGTTCCACAACAAGCTGTGTTCTGTTGGAATTCGTTTGCGAATGCAACTTGAACTATGACCTCTTGATATGTGAACGTTCAACAACAAGCTGTGTTCAGTTGGAATCCAGGATTGCAACCTCTTTTCAACAATATGATTATCGAGACATTTACGTGATACAGGCAACTCCTTAGGGCAGAAAGCACAGAAACCAGGAACATATTGATGTGTTTTCAAAAATATTTATGTAGGTCCAATCAGTACTGTTGTATCGTCTATTTCGTCAACCGAACGTTACAACCCGGACCTGCTCATACATCATACATTATATCAGACATACAACAATGTATGCACATGCATTTGTTTCATGATCTGATTTAAGATGGCCAATTGGCATCAATTTTAAGGCTTAAAACATGTCAAAATCACACATTTTAACCATGGTGCAACCTGATCTCAATCATGCATGGACGGATTATGTTCTAACTTGGTATATACATTGTACATAAATGGGTCTTTGATGGCCTCCATTTTATTATTCTGATTGGTTTTAAAATGGACATTTTAATTGTTTCAAAGAGTGCAGTTCCAGATTCATATACTATACTGACATGCCTGAACCGATTGAGTTCAAATTTTACACAAACATCCTATTGGACAAAAAGAAACATACATTTTTGTCTTTTTATCCAAAATGGCTGACTGGCAGTCATCTTGTTGAAACAAATGCAGTTCCATGGAGCCATATACTCGGACATATACTTCAGTCATATATCACACATTAGGTCACACCTATGCCAATAATTGTTATATGTGCTGTATAAGAAATATTATTATCTTGCATCTTTAAGGTAGCGAGACTATTATTTGTGTTGAAAACTATGATTTTCATATTTATTTATAAATTGATATTTGCATCCCTTTTGTTCCAGTGCGTGCAAACAATTAATAGAAAATAGGGTTCTTCCCACAGTCAGCTGGCGCACATCTGATATAATAAAATAAATGCGATA